CAAGGAAAGGAGGAGGTGCAGGGAGGCCCCCAGGCTCACCTGTCTCTTGAGGACCAGGTGTTTGCCCTTCCAGTACTTGAGCATCTGCAGGGCCTGCAGGGTGCTGACGATGTCCACGGGGTTCACAGCGGTCTCCTGGCTGATCTCTGCAAGCAGAGCCAGCAGAGCCTCTGACACAGCCCCAGAGCCCTGGCAGCACCAGCTCGGTGCCATCCCCTCAGCAATGTGGGGCTGGGCAGGGCTGCAGGGGTTTGGGGTGCAGGCTTTGGCATCTGGAACAAACCCCCTGAGAGAAAATGCAATCCTGCTTTTCCAGGGTACCTCACATCCCCAGGAACTCCCAGGTGCCACCAACAGAGAAATGCCATTAAAAAAAAGGGAAAATATTCTCAATATTGGCTGCTGGCTTTGGCATCTGGAACAAACTCCCTCAGAGAAAATGCAATCCTGCTTTTCCAGGATACCTCACATCCCCAGGAACTCCCAGGTGCCACCAACAGAGAAATGCCATTAAAAAAAGGTAAAATATTCTCAATATTGGCTGCTGAAGCCATTTTTTTTTTGTTAAAATTAATATTCTAACACATAGCTGGATGAAGCTTTTTGCTGAATATTTTTTATATTGTCATTTTTTCATCAAGCAGCCAATTAATCTTTTAAAATGCTGCACATGGCCCATCTCTGCTGGTGGCAGGGCTGGGAAGGAGCCATTCCCAACAGCCCATGGAATGAATTCAGTGCTCCACGAACCCCTGGGTGGGTGAGGCAGGCTGGGAGGCTCAGGGATGATCCCAAACCCCAAAGTGACCTTTGATGGAGATCTCCTTGCCCTGGAAGTTGTGCAGGTACCGCAGCAGAACCTCCTTCCAGTAGCTCCTGTAGCTGATCAGGCCCAGGTCGGACAGGGGACGCTCTGGGGAGCCAACCTTCTCCTCTACCTTAGACAGCAAATAGCCTAAAAATATAAAAATAACCCCATTTAAACGACTCAGAAATGAGGGTGGGAGCTGCTCCAGCATGGCAGCAGCCAGGTGAGATTTCCTGGTGGAGCTGGAGGGATTTTTGGGCAGAATTTGCCCCCACACTCACTGAAGTCAATGAGCATTTTGCCATAGCCTTGTCTCATGTACTGGGGCATGGTCAGGATGCAGGACACGTTGTAGTTGAGGAAGGAATTCTTCTCCTGGAAACAAGAGCAGACAGCAGGGAAGTCAGAATTTTTACTCCTTTAGCTGTTTTATTTTAAAAGAAATCATGGTGATTTCTTTTAAAATTTATTTTTATTTTAATATGTATTATTAATATTACTGAATATTTATTTTAAGGTATTTTTCTTCACATTCCTTCCCAGTTTCCTTCTCCCCAATGAAGACACCACTCTGCTTCCTGGCAGAAGAAATCATGGTGATTTCTTTAAAAATTTCTTTTTTTAAAATTATATTTTTAAGATTATTGAATATTTATTTTCATGTATTTTTCTCCACATTCCTTCCCAGTTTCCTTCTCCCCAATGAAGACACCACTCTGCTTCCTGGCAGAAGAAATCATGGTGATTTCTTTTTAAATTTATTTTTATTTTAATATTTATTATTAATATTATTGAATATTTATTTTCATGTGTTTTTCTCCCCATTCCTTCCCAGTTTCCTTCTCCCCAATGAAGACACCACTCTGCTTCCTGGCAGAAGAAATAATGGTGATTTCTTTTTAAATTTATTTAATTTTTTTTAATTTTAATATTTATTATTAATATTATTTAATATTCATTTTCATGTATTTTTCTCCACATTCCTTCCCAGATTTCTCCTGGCAGAAGAAATCATGGTGATTTCTTTTTAAATTTATTTTTATTTTAATATGTATTATTAATATTACTGAATATTTATTTTCATGTATTTTTCTCCCCATTCCTTCTCAGTTTCCTTCTCCCCAATGAAGACACCACTCTGCTTCCTGACAGCTCCAATTCCTTGGAGTTGGTTTGGTTTTTGCTGGGAATGAGAAAAGATGGAGCAGCACAGCACCAGCAATCCCTCAGCAAACACAACAACCCTGCCATAGCTCAGCCTTGGACTTTCATCTGCTCCCAAAAGCAGCAAATCCTGAGGCTGCCAAAGGGATTCAGTGCTCATGAGGGGCCTAAATCAAATTTTAGTGAGGTGGGGGATGAGTGTTTTGCACTGACCTTGGAGAAATACCCGATCAGGTGGCAGCCAGTGTTGTCAGCCTCTGTCATGACGTAGAAAAGGAAGGGTTCCACATCATAATAAAGGGTTTTGTGGTCCAGGAAAAGCTTTGCCAGCAGACACAGGTTCTGACAGTAGATCTGGGCACAGAAAAGAGATGCAGGTGTTTACCCCAGTGAGATACCCCAAACACGGGCAAAACCACCTGGGAAAGGACAAAAAACCCTCAGAATCATCTGAAAAATGATGCGGAAACGGAGCAGCTGGGCCAGGAAACAATTCCATTGGTGATGGAGCCTGGATCCTGCCCCTCACCTCTGCTGGGTGAGACACAGAGGGAGCAAAATTCCTGCAGGAAGGGCCCAACTGCAGCAGCCCCTCTGTGAGCAGGGCCACAGGGCCACCCTGGCTGTGTGTGGGGCCACCCTGGCTGTGGTGTGTTCTTAAGTT